ATGGTCTTCGCCCTCAGGCAGCTGCAGGAAAAGTGCATTGAACAGCGGCAAGACCTGTACCTGTTCTTCATAGACCTGACCAAAGCCTTTGACACTGCCAGTAGACCCGGCCTTTGGTCCATCCTCTCCAAACTAGGCTGCCCCCCAAAGTTTGTCAGAGCTGTACGGTCCTTCCACGACAGCATGATGGCCAGAGTGATCGAGAACGGAGATGTCTCTGAGCCCTTCCCTGTAACCAACGGTGTGAAACAGGGCTGAGTCCTGGCTCCAACATTGTTCAGCCTGCTGTTCGCCGAAATGCTGTCAGCCGCACTCATCCAGATTGACACTGCCATCAAGATCAGGTACAGGACGGTCGGGCAACCTGCAGCCTCTGAAGACCCACACCAAAATGCATGAAGCTCTGGTCCGCGACTTCCTTTTTGTTGACGATTGCGCGCTTGCTGCTCACTCTGAAGAAGACCTGCAATGCCTAGCTGATTGTTTCTCCGCCGCTGCGAAAGCCTTCGGGCTGACAATCAGCATAAAGAAGACAGAGGAGTTGTACCAGGCAGCCCCTGGTGCCAGCAGGCCAAAGCCAGTCATCAGGATTGACGGCACTCCACTCAAGAATGTCGAGGATTTGACCTACCTAGGTAGCTGCGTCTCCTCGTCTGGCACCTTGGACCAGGAAATCTCCTGGTGTGGCTTGAGCGCGGCATCACACAGGGGACGAAAGTTGCAGTGTACAAAGCTGTAGTACTGTCATCACTCCTGTACAGCTGCGAAACGTGGAACTGCTACCGCCGACACGTCAAGAAGCTGAACCAATTTCATCTCCGCTGCCTTCACAAACTCCTGGGTATCCACTGGGAAGACTGTGTGACTAACCAGGAGGTCCTTTGCCGTGCTGCCCTGCCTGGCATCGAGGCCCTGATCATACAGGCTCAGTTGAGGTGGCCAGGCCACGTGATGCGAATGGAAGACAGCCGTCTTCCAAAAAGCTCTTCTGCTCTGAGCTGGCCAGAGGCACAAGGAAAGAGGGAGGCCAGATCAAGCGCTACAAAGACTCCCTCAAGCAGTCCTTGCGGGCCTGCAACATCTCCATCATAGGTTGGGAGGGACTTGCTGCCAATCGCACTGCCTGGAGGCAGTCCACACTGGCAGGGGTCAAGGCCTTTGAGGAGCGTTGCCTAGAGCAGCTTGATGTGTGTGTGTGTGAGTGTGTGTATGTGAGTGCGTGTGTGTGTGTGTGTGAGTGTCTGTGTGTGTGTGTGTTATCACATCATATCTTTCCTTATTCCACAGTATCAGTATCGTTCCTTACACCACAGCTCTCTTACCACTCCAAGGCTCAAATAAGACTTTAATATTAAGCGCAAACAGAAATCTCCATTAACAGATTTCGGTTCATCATCGCAATTTCTGCCACTCTTTTCCAAATGAAACTGTGCATTTTCGAATACTGTTTACGCCCAATGATTTAAACCAATCCGATTACTTTAATGGATACCTCATCAGGCAGATCTCTTTTTTCAATTAAGTTGATTTATGAGAAAAATATAGTTCACTACGCTTGAATTCTTTTATTTCTTTTTACCTGTCCATCAAATTGAGCAGTGGTATACATGTGTATATATATGTATGAACCTCTCTCTCTCTCTCTGCATACACATACACACACATACAAACATGCGTGAATGTGTGTATATATATATATATACATGTGTGTGTGTCTGTATATATATATATATATATATATATATATATATATATATATATATATACATATATATGAGTGTGTGTGTGTGTGTATATGCGTATGTGTGTATATGTGTATATATATATATATATATATATATATATATATATATATATATATCCATATCCATACATATATATATATATGTATATACATATATACGTACATATATATGCATATATATGTATATATATATATATATATGCGTGTGTGTGTGTGTGTGTGTGTGTGTATGCGTATGTGTGTATGTAGTTATGCATGTATATAAGTATGTATGTACACACACACACACACACACACACACACTCACACACACACACACACACACACACACACTATACAATATACTGTATACAGACTATGTGGATGCTTGTACCAGCAGCGTTGCCGCCCACGCTAGCTATCTGCCGGCTTGGACGCTACCTAGCCTAGTTCCCACGCCGCCCAGCCGCATGGCTTGGGGGAATGCTACCTACCCTCGTTCCCCAAGCCAACGCTCGGATATTTAAGGCCTGCAGGTGATCCCTGTAAGCAGAGTGTTCTGTGCCGCGATCGAGGTCACGATCTCCATTTCTGTCTTGACCTGACCTCAGCTGAAAGTCGTTAATAAGAGTCCACTTAGGGACAGCTGTCGTGACCTGACCTCACCTGATGGTCATTCTTCGAATAGCTGTCGTGACCTGATCTGACTTTCACTAGGAGTAGTTATCTCAGTAAATGGTGGGGAAAAACAGCTTGCCAATTCCCTTTTAATTGTTTGAACTAGTTGTCACAATATAGAGTTAATGCATAGCAACCGTTACATGTTCATGGTGACAAGTTCTATCGGCGGTAGAACGGAACTTGTAACGCGACTCGTATAATTAAATATAACGCCAAGAGGTATCCTCATTGAAAGTTTGCATTTTTTTGCGTAATGTACTCGGCGTCTCCGGCAGATGATAGTAAGTTAAAGTAACTGAAGTAAATCATACGTTCGGCAAACTTTGAGCTAGGGTGACCGCAATTATGTCCATTAATTTAGGACTAGGATTTAAGTCTGATTTAGGATCCACTTAATTAATCACAACCCGCTCACACTTTACATGTCGCCGTCATGTTGGGTAAAATCCCGTCGGTTCGTGATTCATGATAAATCCCCGCATGGCATTTCATGAGCGCCCATCTTAGATCCGCAGATACAGTGGTTAATTTATAGATTTTCCCAGCTCATTTAAGCTTCATAAAATACGGCAATTTTTGGGTCCCATCCCCCCGTCAAATGAAGTCTGCATGACCGTTAAGACATACCTACTTCCTCGGGGAAATTCCCGAGAAGATTTGCTCGCGAAGAGGCTTGCGAATAATTTTCACGTCACCATTCATTAATGCGTCATTTTGTCGTATATCATTAAATGTTAAATTCAATGTGGTACTTGAAATAATTTTGAATTACGGCTATAAATAATTAGTCGCATTATTGTTAGAATGAACTTCATTCAGCGTGTTGGCAACTCTACTGCTATAGGAGGTCACTCTTACTTTCATTTGACACTCATCAATCACTGTCACTCAAGCATGCACACATACTCACTCACCCACGCAGAACAGAGACACTGAAACCTTCATTAATAGGATCGGCTGCTGTCTTATGTGCAGGCATACGTATTTGTTTGCCGCAATATTGTTAGTCGTGATGCTTAACTTGTACATGATTTCGTATTTACATACTTTCCTTTCGGGTTCGACAAATGGTTCAAGTAATTCCTTGTGAAATGCCAATTATCGTTTCCTTTACTTTACTTTTCATGAGACGATGGTAGCTCAAGAGGATCTTTGTGGATCGTTATCACTGTCTCCCTCTCCTATTTTCCTCTTTTAACTTAACTTTGTGAACACAAAACACATAAAAAAACACGAAAATAACGAAAATTCAACTTTAAAAACTGCAAATTATGAAACAAAAAATCGGCTTGTAGTATTTAACACCTTCTCTTCTCTGTCGTTTTTCCTTCTCTCACTATCTGGCCCATTATGTGTTATTCTGGTTCCCGATATCTGAAACGGCACCGAAGGAGGCCCTGCTGCAGAAACGGTCACCTTCGGAAGCCATTAGAAAACGTCATCGGAGATCGCCACTCGCCAGGACACCCAAGATCCAGCGGAGACAGGAGCTTGCCAGTACAGGTTCGCCGTCCTATGATGCAGTGGACGGGCGCCGCTTGCCTGGACGCCGCAGACCCAGTCAAACTCCAGGAGCTCATTAGTGCAGGTATCAGCCGCCCTATGATGTCGAAGAGGACGCTTCCTGCCGGACGCCCGTAGATCCTGACGACGATTACGAGGACGTCTGTACGAGCGCGCAGCCGAGAAGGACCTGGATGGAGATCTGCGAGACGTGCATTGGGTGAATAAGCCGCCGAGTTTGACCTGTAAGCGGACTACGAGGATGTCTGGTTGAGGACCTGTGCGAGACCAGCCGAAGACGTGAGGATGTCGAGAACAAATGGATTCCCAGGGACCAGAACGAGGAGGACGACACAGAACGAGCAGCCACGGAGATGCACCAAGGATACCGCACCCGAGATCGAGGACGAGCAGGTTGGGTCACCCTTGAGGAAAGTCTAGATCGCCTCGAGGACGAGCCGTGAGTAGGTGGCCGAGCAATATACTGTATACAGACTATGTGGATGCTTGTACCAGCAGCGTTGCCGCCCACGCTAGCTATCTGCCGGCTTGGACGCTACCTAGCCTAGTTCCCACGCCGCCCAGCCGCATGGCTTGGGGGAATGCTACCTACCCTCGTTCCCCAAGCCAACGCTCGGATATTTAAGGCCTGCAGGTGATCCCTGTAAGCAGAGTGTTCTGTGCCGCGATCGAGGTCACGATCTCCATTTCTGTCTTGACCTGACCTCAGCTGAAAGTCGTTATAAGAGTCCACTTTGGACGCTGTCGTGACCTGATCTGACTTTCACTAGGAGTAGTTATCTCAGTAAATGGTGGGGAAAAACAGCTTGCCAATTCCCTTTTAATTGTTTGAACTAGTTGTCACAATATAGAGTTAATGCATAGCAACCGTTACATGTTCATGGTGACAAGTTCTATCGGCGGTAGAACGGAACTTGTAACGCGACTCGTATAATTAAATATAACGCCAAGAGGTATCCTCATTGAAAGTTTGCATTTTTTTGCGTAATGTACTCGGCGTCTCCGGCAGATGATAGTAAGTTAAAGTAACTGAAGTAAATCATACGTTCGGCAAACTTTGAGCTAGGGTGACCGCAATTATGTCCATTAATTTAGGACTAGGATTTAAGTCTGATTTAGGATCCACTTAATTAATCACAACCCGCTCACACTTTACATGTCGCCGTCATGTTGGGTAAAATCCCGTCGGTTCGTGATTCATGATAAATCCCCGCATGGCATTTCATGAGCGCCCATCTTAGATCCGCAGATACAGTGGTTAATTTATAGATTTTCCCAGCTCATTTAAGCTTCATAAAATACGGCAATTTTTTGGGTCCCATCCCCCCGTCAAATGAAGTCTGCATGACCGTTAATTTCCTTCTCTCTCACTATCTGGCCCATTATGTGTTATTCTGGTTCCCGATATCTGAAACGGCACGAAGGAGGCCCTGCTGCAGAAACGGTCCCTTCGGAAGCCATTAGAAAACGTCATCGGGAGATCGCCACTCGCCATGACACCCAAGATCCAGCGGAGACAGGAGCTTGCCAGTACAGGGTTCGCCGTCCTATGATGCAGTGGACGGGCGCCGCTTGCCTGGACGCCGCAGACCCAGTCAAACTCCAGGAGCTCATTAGTGCAGGTATCAGCCGCCCTATGATGTCGAAGAGGACGCTTCCTGCCGGACGCCCGTAGATCCTGACGACGATTACGAGGACGTCTGTACGAGCGCGCAGCCGAGAAGGACCTGGATGGAGATCTGCGAGACGTGCATTGGGTGAATAAGCCGCCGAGTTTGACCTGTAAGCGGACTACGAGGATGTCTGGTTGAGGACCTGTGCGAGACCAGCCGAAGACGTGAGGATGTCGAGAACAAATGGATTCCCAGGGACCAGAACGAGGAGGACGACACAGAACGAGCAGCCACGGAGATGCACCAAGGATACCGCACCCGAGATCGAGGACGAGCAGGTTGGGTCACCCTTGAGGAAAGTCTAGATCGCCTCGAGGACGAGCCGTGAGTAGGTGGCCGAGCAATATACTGTATACAGACCACGTTGATGCTTGTACCAGCAGCGTTGCCGCCCACGCTAGCTATCTGCCGGCTTGGACGCTACCTAGCCTCGTTCCCATGCCGCCCAGCCGCGTGGCTTGGGGGAATTCTACCTACCCTCGTTCCCCAAG